AAATGCGATTGCAAATTCCGACGATCTATTCAAATCTGCAAGTGATTCATTATATATAAGTATCACCGCGATTTTTAGGATGTTTTCCATATTCCAATAACATTAACAAAGCTTAAAATTTCAAAATAAATTTTTAAAGCTTTTCTTTGATCAAAGAATTTAATATAGGTGTATCAATTGGAAGATATGTCACACAATCTATTATTAAACGATAAATGAACTTAATACAGTAATATTGACATTACTTTTGTGAATTGGTTTATCGTTATTACCGTAGAGCACTGCATACAGTACCCGAGGTCTTATTCAAAAACTTCATTTTTAAAATTGAATAGTACCGGGTACTATTCACAAACCCAGTGATTTTATTGGTGGAGAAGGGGTACTTTATATGGTAGGGTATTATTTTCGGTGGATACTTTATGCAATGCTCTACGGTATTAATATTATATTCTGTACTCTAGTCCCAATTGTCAATCGGGGCAGCCCAAATGTCAATTGGTCAAATAACCCTAACGCCTGGTTCTAAATTAATTATTGTTCAAATTTTCATCTGGCAAAACAGCCATTTACTAATATATTGATTTATTTAATGATCTATTACAGTAGTTACGCCTATTACAAAACCATCACAATAATTAAATCTATTACGGTAAAAAATTACAACCTAATAGCAAAAGGTTGCAACAAACCAGCTTCGCTATACCTCTTATGGCATGCCGCCTTAACATTAGTTTCCTCTTCCTTTTCTTCCTTATTGATGTCATCTACACGTTTCCTACGTTCTTCTGTAAGTTTTTTTGCATCGTCCATCATTTGCTGTAGTTTTTGCATTCGCTTTGATTCATCATCAGATTTATTATGACGATGATCATTCCTTTCATGATAATCCCGTCGTATAGGACTGCTACGCCTATCACGTTTTCTCGGGGGAGATATAGACCTACTGCGAGACCGATATCGCCTTTTTGACTGACGATATTTATCGTGACTATATTTATCATATTTGTCGTCGTGACTATATTTGTCATGACTGTATTTGTCGTGACTATATTTGTCGTGGCTATATTTGTCGTGACTATATTTGTCGTGGCTATATTTGTCGTGACTATATTTGTCGTGACTATATTTGTCGTGACTATATTTGTCGTGACTATATTTGTCGTGATTATAATTTATATCTGAATCATCAATATCTGAGGATTTTTTATGATGTTTTTTGCTGGTACTTTTTGAATCAGCATCACGTTTTTTGCTTTTATCTTTTTTACTTTTTTTGGTTTTCTATTAAAATAAAGCACAAGAATGTTAGTAATAATTACTTTAGGTATATATATATATACATATATCTTATACAAATGATAAATCAACAACATACCTCTTTAAGTTCTTTCATTTTAAGAGGATTAGTAACAATAGCTTTAATATTAGCTTGTTCAGTTTTCTTTATAAGTAATAGGGGATCCTCACGGATTTTAGCCTGAGTATCCCTATATGTGTTTGCATTTGGATTCATAGTACTTATAAAAACATCCTTTGAATCGGAGGAGAGCTATTAATAATAGAAAACAAGATAAGAAATCTAGCGATATTAAATTTAATTGATAATTTCAATATTGCAATGTTTACCTTACTCAAAGCTGTGCCGTTATCAATAAGTTTATCCACAGATTTCTTTCCCAACAATAAATCCTCCATTTCTTGGGCTTTGGCTGAACTAGATTGATTAGGACCTGCCGCGTACATCCAGTCCAATCTCTCTGGCCCTTTCCTATTTCATTGTTAAGAAGTATTAGTAAGGTATATTTAGAAATCATATTCTTGCAATCTCTAATAAATCTCAGGAAATATAGGATATATATATATATTTACTTTCCGCCAGCACTCTCCTGTAATTTTCTCAATTCTTGTAACTGTCTTTCTTCTTCTTTTTCTTTCATTAATTGGGTTAGCTTTTTTTGTTCTTCCAATGCCTTCTGCTCTTCCTTCCACACCCGTTCTTGATTTTTAATCAAGAGCGGATGCCAAGATTTTTTCATATTCTGCAAACATTTTAAAATGTTAGAATCTATTACAGATGCCTTAACAGATTCAAGACGATCTAACTTACCAAGTCACCTCCACCCATTTTGATTAAGGTTTATTGGTAGATTTGCAAAAATTTGGTTTATAGATCAAAAGAAGTTTGAAAGAAACTTTATACGGTTTAATAACAAATACAGCAAAATGAAAGTTTTATTTAAAAATTGACCGATCATTCTAATTAGACATTCGTATGATTGGTTAATTTTGTAGATCTACCCGTGATAATTAGCCAATCAAAATACAGTATTTTTAAGAACACATTTAATTTATACCGGGGGATATCATATCCTATCTCAACCCATGTAAAAATTTAAATACATATTGTGCATTAATTTACTAATATTTATACTCAACTAAACTATAACTCAAAACATACTAAAACTAATAATCAAACCAATCAAATTAATATATAAATACTATCAAGAAAAAACTTGCTTTGCAAACTTTCTTATGACGGTTTTTAAATTAGCTTTGCATATTTAACTTTACACAATACAAATTATCATAAAAGTAAATGCTTCGCTATGGCTGTCGCCTCCGCTACGCTTATTTAACTAAACCATCAATCTAATGTCATTCAATATTAAGCATCTTACCCTAACTCTAAATATGAACGCTCAACTCTATTAACAAAAATATTATGCCTGAAATTAATAAAAGTAAATGCTTCGCTACGGTTATCGCCTTCGCTGTGCTTATTTAACTAAACCATCAATCTAACAGTTGTTCAATATTAAGTACCTTACCCTAACCCTAAATATGAATGCACAACTTTATTAGCAAAAATATTATGCCTGAAATTAATAAAAATAAATGCTTCGCTACGGCTATCGCCTTCGCTGCGCTTATTTAACTAAACCATCAATCTAACAGTTGTTCAATATTAAGTACCTTACCCTAACCCTAAATATAAACGTTCAACTCTATTAGCAAAAATATTATGCTTGAAATTAATAAAAGTAAATGCTTCACTACGGCTATCGCCTTCGCTGCACTTATTTAACTAAACCATCAATCTAACAGTTGTTCAATATTAAGTACCTTACCCTAACCCTAAATATGAACGCTCAACTCTATTAGCAAAAATCTTATGCCTGAAATTAATAAAAATAAATGCTTCGCTACGGCTGTCGCTTCCGCTATGCTTATTTAACTAAACTATCAAGTTTAATGGGCATTCAAATAATAAGTACCTTATATTATCAGGTATTATACCTAACCCTAAATATGAATGCTTAACTATGTTAGTAGCTTGAAGTTAATACAGTACCGGACAGTAAAACGCATCCAATGTTTATTAGTAAAAATTTTAAAGTGTTATAACTTTTTGAAAACAAGCTAAATCAAAAAACCCTCTGACAAATTGATAGATTTTTAGATAAACT